GAAAGAGAGGGAAGAGGCAGTCTAGATGTAGCCTGAGACTCTGCTAAGGATCACATGACTTGGATTGGAAGAGAGCCCAAATGAACAGTGCAGCTCAATCTTGACTCATATCACTTCAGCTGCCAGCAGATTAGGTGGTGGTGAACAAAACAAAACACTAACAGATATTCACAGGGTCTGTCTACCAGAAGAGAGAGTATCTTTAGATAAACTTTTACAGGGACTCCATGCAGTGTATAAATAGTCCTGAGCCAACACTGGAGGGATTGTAGGCATAACCATTCACACACAGACATGTAAACACATGCTGGCATATGGCTAACAAGCTGAGTAGCATAGTTACTGTGGTTCTTGTATGATAATACCATCTAAGCTACAAAGCAATCAGGAAGACACAGAGGCTTTTATTTTAATGTTTGGCCAGGGAGATGATTAGCAACATTCAAATAATGAAGTAAGTGGGCAGTTTCAGGAATGGCTTGATGCAAGTCTGAGATACCACTGACAAATGATCGCATCAGCCACTGATTTACAATTTGGTACAATTGGTGACTAGTAGCCACAATTTCATTGTACATTTTTGCTTATCTTCCAAAGGTATAAGATATGACAGCACTGCCATGCAATATTCTAAAACAGTTTGTGATCCACTGTTTGTGAAATAGGTTGAAGCCTGGAAGTTCTTGTCATGCAGCTTACAATCAGGTGCTTTTTTGGGACATCAGCAATATCTGAGAATTTTTTCCCCAATGTGCCTCAGGATTGGCTGAAGATGCTTTAAGAAGCTTGAAAGATTTTATATGAAGGTTTTACAGATTCTCATTAATTGGTAAATTCAAGATTGCCATGGTTTAACTGTACTCCTATGATGTACAGTTTATTTCTCAAGATTTTGATTCAAGTATATGTGGCAAAGTGAACAAATAAAGAGACGTTGATTGTAATGTTCCACTTACGATTCTTATTGCAGCATTAACCTGCGCATCCAACAATTTGGTATGTAACCAGAACTCAATATTCAGCAGTAGAGTATGCCCGTGCTCTAGTCTATGTTTAAAGTATGTGGACATCAACACCTCATGTTGCACCCATGACTTCTCAGACAAGACTGGTCTCTGCTTTCACCTTTCCACTTTTCCAGATGGGTTTTAAAAATCAAGTTTTACTGCAGATAGTGAGAAGGAACTCTGAATGGTGGTTGAAGCTGTTCTGCTTTTTTGTACTCTTGTTGCAAGGGGTATGGAAATGTACAAAGGGCGCATGGGGTTCCCAAACAATGCTGGCTACAAGATTCCAGGTTTGCATGCACAAGGCACACAAAAAATACAGTGGGATCTGTGTGGGCCAATGCTTGAAGAACCTTCATTTCAACTTATAAAACTTTCAAGTGTCCGAAATTTTTTTATACAATTAGAAATCAGAATGAGAAATCTGAGCAATATATGATTTATATAGTCTGAAATTAGGGATAAATGTCATGTGATGCACAATTGGTATCAGTTCTAAGATATTTTACTTTATTTTATAATTTTATTCTCTCTCTATATATATAAAACTAAAACTATTTAGGGGAAAGTTTATTTTTCTAGACTCGTTTTCCAGCAAGGCAGCTGACAAACATTGTGGGTTAACAGAAGAACAGCTATCAATTTTTTTTTGAACACACACAAAATGAATAACTTGAGGTTGAGATCTTATCAATTTTATATTATATATAAATATAAATAAAATATAAAGAGAAATGTATGTATTGCAAAATCTCAACCTCAACTTATTCATTTTGTATCTACGTATACTGGATTTTTGTAGACAATATTTTAAAAGATGAACATGAGTCAACCCCAGGAAAAAGTTTGGGAAAAAATTCTGCTTGCATACCTTTTCCTGTATTTTGTCTTCCCCTCACAAAAGACAAATTGTAAGCAGGGACTACAAATCATGAAATAAATTAACTAAACAAAGAGATCCTGGTTTTGGACATAGGATTTAAAGAAATAATATGGAAAAATAAAATACTATCTGAGCCCCCTAAAATAAGCATTCATTCAAATCAGTGGGTTTTTAATCTTATTAAATTATTCCTTCTGCCATATATTTTAAATATCATATATTTTAAATATCTGATTTTGCTACAATATTCTGAAATTTGGTGTAATTACTAAAACTACTATACATTTAAAGGGGCTGAACTTAATAATGTTTAACTGATAAGGAAGGTAACATTACAGGAAAAGAGCATCAGAAAACTACAGGAGCCCAAGTATCCATTAGTTAAATTTAATTTGTCAGATAGAAGTTATCTATTTACAATCAGTGTGCATTGTAACAATTTCTATTAATAAAGTCACTCAACTCTTCTAAAATATTAACTGGCTGCATAGCACATTTGACATTATTGCCTATACTGAAAGGGAAAACAAATGGATTTACAATAAATTTTGGCTGATATGTATTTGGAAGGTTTCATGTATTAAACTCTTCTCCTTTTAAAACAAATACATCTAAAAATGTTTTATTCAGAGCCCAAATCAGTTGTATATTTCTCACCATTTCATTACAACAATCACAACACGGACAGTTTATTAAAAAAACAAAACATGTATCGCACACAGCATCCAATAAAAAAAAAGGAGCACTAAAACTGAAGTTTTCCTTTTCCCCAATTTTACATTCTGAACAGTGATTCTGTCAAGATACTTCATTCAAAAGTGTAATACACTGATTTTGTTTCCTATTTGTGACAAGACGGCCTGAGTTGATGGGGAAAGGAACAGTCAAAAAAAGCCTGAGAGGGGAAAAAGCTCATTTAATTAATTTACAATAATTTACAGCTTCTTTTGTAAAAAGGCATTACAACTGATCACCAACAGGAAAAAATCCTGGCTTTTTTACAGTTCTAGGTACAGAATTTAAATATTCAAGCTTGTGATGAAAAGCGGCAAGGTGGTCGCAGTGTACAATGTAAACAAGTAGCTTTGGAAAGTGAACAAGGTCCTTGAGAGTTCCTTACTAAGAAAAATAAAACAAAATAAAACTCAAATGCCTCATTCCTTCCTGAAACACGATCACAGGTCAGTGTGTAAAAGTTCATTTACAAACATAATTTAAACTGTATTCAGCCTAAAAGCACTTTGACATGAAGAGTTTCATAAGATCCAGTCTGAATGGGGCAGTGTTGAGGTCCCTGTAAAAGTAAACATCTTCCATTTCTTAAAAAAAGTGCCACAACATTTGCAGCACAGTGCAGCATAAACTTTAAATACAAAAATATTTTTTCTTCTGTTGGGATAATAGACCTTGCATCCTGGAAAGAAGTAACAATACTGCTACTGATAGAATATCCAGTCCACGTCTTTCAAGTCATGTAAGGCAATTACTGTGTTAGTTTTCTGTATATGGCTAAAAGAAGGTCCAGAAATGTTAGTCTTTGTTATGTTTTTCGGATACTCCATGTATGTTCCGGTGTACTTTTGTGATCTGCTGAGTGTTCAAATGGAGATCTGTGTCCTAAGGGAGACCTTGAGCCATAAGGAGACCTCTGATCTAGTGGTGACCTAGGGCCACTACTGGAAGCTCTATGGTCCATTTGCCAGTCTGAGTGGTACCTATAGTCCCTGGAAGATTTATGATGACTGTATTCTGAACTGGATCGATGATCTGAGTGTATCCGATGATCGGAATGGGAACGGTGGTCTGAATGAGACCGACTGTCTTTTAAATTTCCTTCAAGGCTTGACCTGTGATCTCTACTCCTGTGGTCATCTAGCTTTCTATGTTTGCTATCGCTGTAGTATCTGAAAGATAAGATAAATTGTTATTTTGTTAAAAAAGGTTGAAATTCTCTAAACCAGGGCTCTTGTCTGGCAACATCCAGGACCAGAGAGTCCCAGTGGAGGGCTATCGTCCAGGAGCCCTGTGGGCTGGCTGGGCAGTGGGAGACTACGATGCGGCAGTGGGGCTTTTTGGCAGGGCAGCGGGAGCCTGACACGTGGCAGCGGGGCTTCCCAGCTAGGTAACAGGAAAGTGACATGCGGCAGCAGTCTGCCCAACAGGGCATTGGGAGCCCAGTGCACAGAGGTCGTGAGGCTGCCCAGCACGGGGCTGCAGGGCAGGTGGGGGAAGTGGAGGGGAGAAAGCCAACCAGGAGGCCAGCGGTAGGGCTAGACCTGGGGGAGCTGGTGGCAGGGGAGCCATCTCTCCTGGTTTGGCAAAATCCCTCATCTGGGACTGGTTAGGTCCCAAGGGTGCCAGACCAAGGAGGTCCAACCTATAGTAATAAAAGCAAGGATTAACATGGTGTCAATTTAGCAAATTAATTCAAGTGCTCATTCTTTTAAATTTTTCATTATGCACAAAAATCATCTGAAATAACAAAAGTTTTAAAATGGTGCTTAGCTGCATCTTGGCAAAATAAGGTTCATCTCTCTTTCTCTCTCTCACACAGAATAAATCAATCTTCAAGAGGGATTTAAATGCACAAAAGGCATGTGTTCTTGTGGACAAATCATAGGAGAAGCATTCAATTATTGGACAAGTGTGGGCATTTTAATGATAGAACTGTATTCTAATTAACGGAGTAAGTTTTAAAAATATTTTTATATAAAAATATGTGGGATAAATATCTTCGATGATCTAGCAAACTGGCAACTTGGTTTTGATATGAACCATTTAACTGAAATGCAATTAAAAATCTCCAGAAACAATTCCAAAAAACAAAACTAACCCCCTAACCCAGATTTCTATGGATTATTGACAAAACTTACCTATTGTCCTGTTTGTAGTGATCCCAGTCCCTGTGGTCTTTTCCATTGCTGAAGGCAGAATAAGGCCTTTTCCTAGAGTCGCTTTTTTTGTAAGCATCTACTTGATGTCTGTCTTTGTGATGTTCGTGGTATTGTGACAAATGTCTGTCAGAAGAATAACTGTCCCTGCTACTGTCATCATGGTTTGTATTCTCTTTCAGTCTTTCCACATCTGCTTAATAAAACAGAAAGCTATGTTGAACTGTACATTTCTGTGTCAGGGAATTTCATAAATTACAAAATTTCTAGCTGAAAAGTATTAAAGGACTGTTGTACAGGACAACACTTGAACCTCCTAGATTTAACTATGAGAGAAATACAATGATTTGTAACAAAAGCTAACAATGGGAACAAAAATGTGAAAACAGAGAGAAATCTGAGGGGAGAATAGGCAGACCCAAGAAATGCAGAGTGGATTTAGAAGTGGAGAGATAAAGATTATGTAAGATTTAGAAAGAAGGGAGGAAAAGTTCAATTTGATAAAAGGACAAAAACCTAACAGTGTTTCAATGGGAGATCAATGACAATAACATTGCTTTTTCCAGCGAAATTCTGAAGAGCGGCAGAGGAGGAGCAGAGAAATTTATAGTAGTGAAGGTGAGGAATGTTCATGGCATGGACAAAAGTTTTATTAGTGCAAGTAATGAAAAATAACATTTTAGTGTAATTCAGAAGAAGCAGTATCATGGCTTCATGAATGACTGGATCGATACAGTGAAAGAGGAAACAAAAAGTTAAGTGTTGCATTGTGGCTGCAAGCTCAGACTGGGATGACAATGTCATGGTCAATGAAAAATGGGATATTGCATCCTACACCACAGATTGCTGGTCTCTGCTTTACAATGAAGGCCTTAGAATAATCCACAATAATGATTATGACAGCTTCAAGCAAACAAAAAACCCAAACCAAAATAAACAAAAAAACCCCAAACAAAACAAAACAAAACCATGTTGGAGCCTGAAACTAGTCTTTGAGGCATTCAGAGCTCTTTTTCATAAAATAATTAAACACATTTTTATATGTACTTTAATGAAAAAGATTGACAAATAAATTCTTTTAAAAACACTTGTTGCAGTTGGATTGGGCTTGATTTAGTTTTACTAGCAGAAAGATGTATGCTACGGCTAAGTTAATCTATACAAGGACAACTGTACTTAATG